TGGGAAAACCAGTGTCTGTGAGAAGGGCAGGGAAGTCTGGTGCGAAGCAGATGAGTGTGTTGGTGCTTATCAGGGTGAGTGGCAGTGAGCGTGGGCTCACTGTGTGTGTTGCGCCGGCAGGACCTGAGCTCGCTCCTGTGAAATTAATTCATTAGCTTGGTGCGAACCCGCTCCCCTTGGCAGCAGGAGCCTGTCGGTGCCCAGGCATCCCGCAGCCGACCCCGCTGCCGCGGCAGCATCACACCACTCCTCGGCATCCCCGAGCTGGTACCTGCGTGTTCACAGCTAGCACCCAGCACTGTGGGGTCCTGCCACAGAGCAGGTGCTTTCATAGCTGTAAATGCACAGCTTTCTCCATGGTTTAACACCCTTTAAAAAACAAAATCAAAGCAGATGGAGCTGGGCTACAAACAGCCCGGTGTGTTCACCCTGTTTAGATGCTTCTGTCGGGCATCTCCCCACTTGGCCTCTGCCCCTGAGAGCTTTTAAAAGGATGTAAAGACTGAATTTCACTTATCTTCAGAGCCATTTCCTTTTGAGTGTTAATATTATACCTCAGATGGTATGATGCAAAGGATATTAAAAGGCAGATATTGACTTTTCACTCTGAACCAATCAAGAAATAAAGGAGTTAAGTTAGTACTTTTCTTCTTATGCACTCGCCCTGTGTCACAAATAGTCACCCTGTCCTGCGCATCCCTTGGTGCGTGACACATGAGGCAAACTGGTCTCCTGCAGAGACCAGCTCTGTGCATTAGGCTTGGTATTCGTCAGCTCTGGAGGCTCCTGTTTGAGTCCTGTTGCTGCTTAAGATGGAAATGGGTTTATATGTGGGCACAATCCAGTTGCTGTTGGCCTGGGACATGTGTAGCGCATTTATTTTGTCTGGAGGAGGTATGTAATTCCTGACCTCTGTGGGCTGGCCCCCATGCCAACTCTGTGGAGGATGTGAAGCTGTTGCAAAGCTTTGGGATTTCAGCTCTAGAGACACTATCTTGAACTTTCAGTTCAGAGTCTCCCCGCTAGGCTCCCGTGTGCCAGCCCTGAGAGCAGTCCTTGGGGAAATGCCATAGGGCAAGGCTCGGCCCTCGGAGGCAGGCTGACGAACCTCCTCCATTTGCATTTAACTGCAGCTTTTCTTTTGGTTGGAAGTTTTGGAAAATCATCACGTTTTGCAATTCCTACCTTTGCCCCAGCAGATGACAGGAATAGAAACAGAGGTAAAGGGTGATACCTATAGACATTTGGGGCTTGGCTGCCCCCAGGTGACTGTGTTAGTGCCCCTGGGCTGCCGAGGCCAGTCACCCGTTGGAAATACAGCCCACATGGCAGCGGTCCCTCTCAAGTGACTGCCCAGAGGTGATATCTAAAGGTGGTTCTGAAAGGCCGCGTCCTGCACCTGAGGTGTGTCTGAGCACTGCCGGCTGTCTTGCTGCTCCCTGTACACGCTGCAGTGGAATCGCTCTAGCCCGGGGGGAGCTGCAGGCTGCTGGGGAGGAGACATCCCTCCTGAACTGCATGCAGATCCACAGCCACCTCCTGGCTTTAGCCACAGAGGCAGCTGCCCCCAGACGGGCTCTGGGCTATCCTGGGGCCTCTGCAGGGAGCCAGCCCCTCTCCTGGGGCTGCACAGGGCAGGTTGCTGCTCCCTCTGTTAGCACCTGGGCTGTGGCTGCCACCGGGACTGTTGTGTAGTGCTCGAGCACTGGTGCCTCAACACAGGTAAATGTGAGGCTCTGCTTCTCTCAGCCCCCGTGAGAATCCTGACCTTCAAACCTCATCCCCCTTCACCGCTATTCCCTTTGACTCCTATTGCTGCCCAGATTTTCCCAACAGCTGTCCTTTGCCCTGGCTCTGCACCTAGATCAATCTCTCTGCACCTGTGCAGTGCCCCCCTTCACTCCCCAAGGTCCTCCCTGAGTCCCACCTTCCCCGCAGCCTCCAGCCCCTGAGCCCAAGGATCTGTGCAGCCCCCTGCACCTCTGCCTGATGGAGGAAGGTTGGGGCACCTCCAGCTCCACTGGGCTTTTGTGGTCCTGCTGCTGTGGGGTGAGCACCGTAGGGCTTGGACCTCTTCTCTTTCCATTTGTAAACCCCCCAGGCACAAACAGGGCTTGGCAAATAATAATAGTGTGATGAAGCGGTTTAGATGGAAGATATCTGACAGCCCCCACTGAATATGACCTGAATGCACAGCCCTGTTCCTTCTCCTCCCTGCATGCAGCAACCCCCTGCTCCTTAGGGCATAAATTACTTACCGTTCCCTATAGAATTGAGGACATGGTTAATTCACCAGCATGTTCCTGCTGCCCAGCAAAAAATGATGATGTTCTCTCTCCTCCCCTGGCTAGCAGAGGGCTCGGCACAGGTGCCTGCCTGACTGAGGGAAGCAGAGGCCTTTCATATTCAGGCCCTCTGCTTATTTCTGAGTCTTAGGTCTTGTCTGACTCTGCAGTAGAACAGGCAAGGTGCAAATGTTGGAATATTTGCAAGTGGAATTCAGAGCTGATGTCCAAACACCTTTCTTGTAGTAGCTGGAATAGCTGGCCACAGGAGGCAAGTGGGGATTTCCTGGTCTGAATTCTTCCTGACCATGTGTGACTTTGTTTTAAGCAACCACTCACATTTGGCATCTCCTGGGTCCCATCTGGAGCCTGAGTGGGAAATTGTGCTCCTAGCAGTATTTTGAGATGTAAAAATCACTAGTGTGGAATGGCTGCGAAGGATGCTCAGTGAGCAGGCTAGACAAAATATGTCCTTAGGGCTCACCACTGTGTGAGCGAGGCAATGTGATGTGTGATTTGTGGGCTATTAGTAATTCAACAAAGAGACTGCAGTGGGGCTCAGTGGAGGACTCAGGCTGGACCTGCAAAAGCATCTATAACATTATCATACAGAGCACTTCTCCCTGGGAGGGATCCAAAGCATCATTTGTGGAGTTGAATTCATGTCATAAATCATGGGGCACGTGATGGGCTACATTCACTTAGGCTGCCTCTTCTGCATCCTTCCTGGAAACTCATCTAATAAGAGCTGGCCTCTGGCACATCAAGGTTCAAACATCCATCGTTTGTTAATTGCTGGCAGTAGAAGTGCTTCTTTTTTGCCTTGAAATGTGGAATCCCTTCCTAGAATTGCACTGGGGACTAATAAAAGCCAGTGCCAGGTTTAATATATGCTATCTCACAAATTATCTGGATTAAATACAAGGACTGTGTACTGCCAGAAAGGGGATATTCCCAGCTTAACATTGCTTCTGGGCCATGGAGATCCCAAGACATTGGACCTGAAAACTGCAATTCTCTTATGTGTGTGGGAGGGGTTTGGCAGGAGTGCTTGGAAGTGGTCATATTTGCCTGAGCTAGAGAATTAATTGCCATGAAAACTATGGTTTTGTAACCAATAGTTACAGCTGCAGGAAAGATCAGAAAGCATCTGAATAAATCAAATTAACTATCTCCTGCTCCATCCATATGAGACCAGAACCGTTCAGGGCAAGATTTAAACCACAATCTGGTTGACCCATAACTCTCCCACCTACAAAATGGGGAGAGTGAAAAGTCCAGAAATACAATCAACTAAAACAGGAGAGGGTGGGGACTGCCACGCTGGGTTCTGTGAGGAGGCTGGTCTCTGTCGGCGGCATATAAACCCAGAGGAGGGCAATGAGGAGGAAGCCTGCTCCTGCAAAAATATCACAGACTCACAGAGGCCATTGGGCTGTGCAGTCCAGCCACCCACATTACTGGACAGACAGTACAGTTCAATTAACAGTTCCTGTTAATTGCTGCACTAGCCCACACCTTGACTTGCTTGCTCCTGACCCTGACTGATGTTTCTGATGCCCTAAGGCAGAGGGTTCACCTCCCCTTGTAGCTCATGTCTGTTAGCATTTCCCTGTCTTGCTCTGGCTGTTGTTCTCCGCACGAGCCTTGGAATGATGATGTGAATCCTGACTCACCCCTGACCTTGCAGATTTTGCCCCACTTGCTGTTGCGTGCCGACGAGGAATGCCAGCCTTGTAATTAATCTTAAATTTCTCACTTTTTGCCGCTTCTCCCTCACGCTCCCGCTCAGAGGCAGACGCCTTCCCGGCTCCTCTGCCCCAGCAGCCGCGCCGGCGGGGGTTGCTCCCGGGGGAAGGGGCTGCGCTGAAGGCTCCGCGGGGCACCGCGCCTTCAGGAGGTTG